ACACACACACACACACACACACACACACACACACACACACACACACACACACACACGCAAAAAACAAACAATAATTGTTTGTCTTCCAACTAATTTAAGAGCTACCACAGTCAATATTATTCACTCTTTGGGTATCAAAACAGACTTTTATCAATTTTATTTTAAAGAAATCCTTGCTTTCAACATTAATAAATTGAATGTRAGACTTTATCTGTGCAGACTAACCAGTCAGGTGACCACGATAGAGTTGGCTCTGGCCATGTTGTCGTTGCTGTGGACTTCATGGAACTTTGTTGCGATTCAGGCTTGCCAGTGGAGCTCAAAGCAGATACTTTGAGATCGAACTCAAACAGTAAGATTATGTCTGCCTTTAGAGCCACTCCAGGGAAAGATTTTATGACTAAAGCGCTAATCGGTGTGCGAATGGTGTCCAGTGCTGGAAAAAGTGCAAGAGTCTGCAGCCAAGTTTCACAAAAAAAAAAAAAAAAAACCTATAAATAAATAATAATAATATGGAAAATGAACAATAACACTTAGTTAGTTCTGTTTATGAATACATTTTTTATGACTAGCACAGTCATAAATATTAAAAATAAAAATCTTGACATTTAATGTGCTTTAAATATATCATTTTTTTACTTTAGGTATTTTGTTTGCTTGTCGTGAACAGTGCTGTGACCWCATTAGATTGTTTTCCCTCTTTGTTGGGGATTATGATATTGTTTATCACCACATCTTTGTGGTTTAACATATTTTTCACCCTTAATATGGCTAATCCGCTCAGAACATATGTCATACTTAAGGCCCGTGGGTCAAATGTAGTTCACCACTGCATTTTTTTGTGGCCAGCAAGAGCCTCAGAGATTTATCAATGTCTAAAATAAGCATGCTGCTTTAAAAACCAGCATTCACCACAAACTACATCTCCCATAATGCATGTTGATTATGACAGCATTCCAATGCTAGGTGGAAGTACACAGGGTTCTACAGTAGCTGGTGAAATTCACTATGTAAAATCTCCATTTAGTTGCATTTTCACCAGTTACTTTTGCTAAAGCCTAATTGTATTGGGATGTAGGAATTTCCCATTTACAAGTTGTAAATTTAAACTAGAATGCCCTCCAGTGGGACTTCCCAGTYGTAAAGTGGGAGAATTTAGAGTTTTAGATGGTAGTAACTCACCACAACCCATCAGTGAGTAAAACACAATTACTTTTACTTCTATTACTCTGTATTATTTATTTCACATTGTCAGTCAAACACATTACACAGTACTTTTCATTGTTCATAAGACATGTTAAAACACTACACTGTTTCTTTGCACAGAATACCACATAGAGCTCAGTTATATTTAGTTAGTGGTGCTCAGCTGTAGCAGTAAGATGAGGAACATGACATTTTGTGTTTAGTCAAATTTAAACATTGAAACTGGTCCTCAGAAATGTCTTTCTGTTTCTTACCGTCTTGCTTGAGGTTGTCAATGATGGCCTTCTGGACAGCAGTCAGGTCAGCAGTCTTACCCATGATTGTGGTTTTGAGTAATGAACCAGACTGGGAGTTTTTAAAAGCCTCAGGAATCTTTTACAGGTGTTTAGAGTTAATTTGTTGATTCAGATGATTAGGTTAAAAAGTCGTTTAGAGAACCTTTTCATGAAATGCTGTTTTTTTTTGAGATAGAGATTTTTGGTTTTTCTTTACTTTTTTGCCAAGGTCATCAGTTTTGAAATGGTGGAGGGCTTGAGCTACTTCAGTTGGTGTGCGGTGAATCTAGAATATATGGGGGTTTGGTGTTTATCAGTGCATTGCAGGGGGTTATGAACTTTGTCACAGTATGCTAGTTTTTTGAGAAGGACCTGTACATGCATGCTCACAACCGCACACAAACAGGTGTTTACATCCTGGATTTTCTATTCGGGCACTGACTGAATGGTATGTGCATATGTGTATGTATAGGTATGTGCATATGTGTATGTGTATGTATATACAGTATATACAGTATATATGAAAGTGTTTGGATATGTAGGTAGGTGTATGTTTATGTGTATATGTTTAAATTTATATATGTAAATGGGTATGGTTTTCAGCAAGGCTATAGTCCTTATAATTATATAGATATGCATTTTTGTTGCTGTGGTTTTGCTATCTTTGTTTTTGTAGGTGTGGAGCCAAGAAGTCCGGTATGCTGTCTTGTGTTTTCTCAACATATATTTCCCATATCTTCTAATCTCTCTTTCACTCTTTCTCATTACATTTCACTTYTTTCTYTCTCTTTCTTTTTCTCCTATTAAAAAAAGCCGCTGATGATGAAGAAGCAAAGATACTAATATTCAGATATTCAGTTCTGCTTTCTACTGAAGTGGCAAAAAAAAAAAAGAAACTGGTCCTTTGAGGGAAACCACAATGTTCATTAGTTTATCACCTGTCTAGAATGTATGATAAAACATACAGGACTCCTGCAGAGGGTGTTTGCTGTCATAACTGTGGGAATTTCTTTAAGTTTTTTTTCTTCCCTTGCTGGCTTTGGTGAGCTCTGGTAGTATTTAGCGTATCGGTACACTGGAAGCCTTATTCTTCCCTCCCCTCCCCACCTCCTTCCTTTAGTTGGTTGGCCTGGATCTTCATAAACTTGCAGACAGATTGCAGGTCATAAAAAACATTGCTGATGAGGTTGTTGATCATTTTCCGCCTGCAAGCTTCACAAGAATGACGGGATGGGGGGTTGCATGACGACATCCACTATTGTATGGATATCTGTGTTAATGCAGACTTAAGGGGATGTGTGGTGCATGCCAAGTGTATCTTCGCGTAATACTTGATCACATCGCAATTACTATCTTTTAATCTCAGGTCTCTGAGCAATATGCTTCAATGATTAAATTACACTCAATCTTTTTCTTGCCCTTAATAAGGAAAATCCTTTTGTAAGCCTTGTTGTGGAATTTATTGGAGGATTTATACAAACAATTTGTAACTCCACATTGTTGTTGTTTTTGCACAGAAAGGTGGCCTATATGCAGCCTCACTTTTTTTCTGCACAACTCTGACACTGATTTATAACAAGCAYACAATGCAGAGAGTCGGATAAAGTCCATGTTGTTATATGCATGCTTATTGTGTTTCAGCCCACTAATAAATCTCAGTTGTTCAATACAGTGCCAAGGAAAAACACCTGAAATACAAACTTGGGCCGTGAAAGCAAAATTAAATGCGTGGCAACAGCAGGACGCTGTTCCAGCTGTCATCAGTGAGAGGCCATTATAAGTTACAATAAGTTACAAAAAAGCTTTTTGCTTTTTTTGTTATGTGCACAGAATACCACTGTCCTTAGACCACCTTGTATTCCCCTCACATTTAACACTTGCAGACACTCCAGAGCAGGGCTCTTTCTGCAAAAAAAGAAATCCACTGGGATTGTTTTGGTTTTATTTCATGCATCTGTGAAAATGCCTCAAGATGCATGAGTCCTCTTCAAAGCTGAAAAAGGGGGCAGATCATGCCTTGTCTCAGCTCGTCACATCCCGCTTCAACATTTCTACACTTCCATGGGGCCAAATTCAAAATATGTCGCAATGAATTTTGAGTTGAATGTGTTTCATAGCCCACTCTCAGGCAAAATAATACAGGTTTTACAATTTCAAAATTTTAAAAAGTGCTATGTTTTGGTCAGTAAGTAGACTGATTTAATTTATTAGTGATTTCAGTTTTAATGTTAACTCAACACATCACAGATATGGCCCTATGGTAGTCAGGTGAAATCTGCAAGATCACAAAATATGACCTGTTACACTGAAACAAGGATTCAGTCCCAAAGTTTTGTAGTGAGATGAATGAGTCTTTGGGTGAAAATTTTACAATCATTGAATCTTGTCAAAACAACATTTAAACTGATTTTTCAGGGGTCTTGCTGATTAGCGAAACAAATCAAATCGTATCTCTAGAATCTCTCATGGAATCAGGATGACCTACAGATCAACATGTCAGGATTTWAAAAAAAATATGCTTAATCTAGTTTGATCTAATCCCTAATTTGATGTGATGGGTGTGTTTACAGTTAAAGAATACACTTTTTTATTAATAATGAAAATGCTTAGCTATAATACACAAACATCTCCACTATTGAAGCTGAAAATGTTTGAAGAAAAACAAACAGAACCTATCAGTCGATATCTCATACCAACCATCAAGCACAGTGGTGGAAGTTTAATGATTGGGCTCATACTTTTTGCCTTAGTAACTCAGAATGTTATGGTTTACAGAGATCTGAATACCAAAGTACTCTTGACTTACTATTTCACACTGTTTGTTTAGACTCTACAGTCTTTTTGTAAATAACAAGCCGAGAGTGTCAAACAAAATTTTGTTGTGCTACCACAATAAAGATCCTTGATTCTAGAGTGAGGCCATTTTTTTGCTCGCAAAACATTGGCCCAGTGTAAACTGGGTCATTTAAAGAAGAAATGATACAAACAACAGATGCAAATGAAAATCAGAATGGAAAAAAAAAATCAAGACGTTGCAGTGATCCAGTGAAACTTTAAACATCTACCAATGAAAGTACTGTGGCTGGACGTTGAGAGCTGGGTGTCAACAAACGCCTTCAAATCTCAGTGAAGTAAAACCTTAATAAAAAGCAGAAACTGAGTTTAGACAGCTGATTACCTGACACTTTTGCTGCCGTATGGTTCCTTAAGCTATTAAATTATAGTATGTTAGTTTTTACTGTGTTTATGTGTATTATGTACTGTTGTTCAGCTCAGGTTGTCTTTACCTCCTTTTTATACACAATAAAAACTGAATTGGTTTCATTATGTTTTAATATGTAAAACTTTACAGTTACTAAAGGATGTGCTAATTATTTTTTATAATTTTTTTTAAACTTTAATCAGACACCTGGAAAATAACCTACTTGTTCACTTATCCAAAGCCTTTTGTTCCTGATCCAGGCTTGAAAGCAGTCTCCTGGAGGTACTTCAGATGGACTTTGAGGTTGAGGAGCTGAGCAGTCCTGTTGACAGTCAGGTGATCATATGGAAGCTGGAGCTACCATCTGTGCCCAAAACCATCGCCAAGACAGAAGGAGCCATGAGGATTTATACAACTCAGAGAGACTTTGTTGGCCTGGCTCCTCTCGTAATGGTGAGTTGGATGGCAGTTGATTTTGTTTTTTTATGTCAAACCCAATCATTATGAAAAGCAGCACCAACATTACACCGACAGCAGCATCTCCGATAACTGCCCACACTTGGACTGCATTTGAGCAATGGCGCATGAAAATATCATGAAATGCACTTTGCTCTGATCCATTCCTGTCTGGTTTGCATACACAGACGGCTGAATATGCTTCGGTTTTGTGTAGTAAATGGGTTCTATTCTGAGCGGGAGTGTGACCTTGTGATGTTGACTGTCAACTAGCTGATGCCTCTCTTCTGTGTTGTTCTGCTCTGTTCTGGCGTGCAATATGTGGTCATCCTCTGCTCCCAACAGCTGCTTCATATGCTGCTATTTTGGTGCTTCAGGCCTCTTTATCATGCTACACTACGTCTATAATTAATCCATGGTATAATCTCCTCCACTAAACATTACATCTGTTTGAATAACACCGTTGTATCTTGGTTATTTGTCACCTGGGCCACTTTCCTCTTACTTTCAAGTATAAGCATAGCTCAGCAGTTGTTCAGCCACATAATATTTATGGAACATGCAGCTTGCGGGAAATATGAACGGTAATATTCTCGGTCATATTTTTTAGTCCATACTGTTTTAAAACATATCACAGCCTATCTGCTCCATTCCCACCACAACAGTGCCGGGGTGCATTAAATTATAATATGCTGMAGTCTCCTGATTTGTGAATTTGACATGATTCATCTTGCTTGTTGAGTTGAAGCCGACCCCAGGCTGAGGGCCAAACATGAGGAGATTTTCTAGTTGGCTCAAAGAGACAGTATTTCAAAAAATGGTGGCAAAAGCTGTACTGACACAACCTTCAGAGCATGGGTGGGGGGGAGTTCAGTTAGTCTATCTCAGCTTCATTTACACCAGTTTGGGAGTCGAGGGACACATATCCATCTGCCTCATTTGCATAATSAAAATGGCCAACTGTCTCTTTAAATTTGATTTAACTTAACTGCACGGTGCTACACAGTGTTCGTGCTGATTCACACAAATATCATTCTTTTCTTTTACGCTATTTAAAGAATACATATGACTGTTTTCTCTATTTCCTGAGGTTGTAATGAGTTGTCCTTGACATGTTTGGTCATAATCTGAACAGAATAATAAAAAAAACAACTGCATTTTAAATAGACTGTACTTTTAGCTAATTTTCAGCTGATTGTAGAGGGCATATTGACCGAGCATGTCCTGTGAGGTGGCGGTCTACAATAAATTCACACCTAATTCAACCCAGAATCCATCATTYATACACACATGTATTAAAGATTGAAGTCACAGGGAGCGGTGCCTATCTCCGGTGGTCATTTGGCAAGAGGTGAGGTACGCCCTGCTCAGTCCATCACAGCTCCACATAGAGGAGAATAGCCATGCATCCACACAGTGTCCATGGCCAATTTAGAATAATCAATTCACCCAGCAGGCATGCTTTCAGACTGTGGAAAGGCCTCATCGAAGTTTCAAACCGAGGAAGTTTTTGCTGCCGARCAACATTGTCAACAAACTGCACCACTATGCAGTCAGTTTAGTTCAGTGGTTCCCAAAGTTGGGGGTCAGGATTCACAGTGGGGTCCTGAAACATCAAGGTGGGGTCCTGAAAATATTTTCTGAATTGATTACACTAAAAAAAAAGACTTTTTTTGCCTTTGTTGTTACAAAAGAAAAACATTAGTGTACTTAAAATGGACAAAAATAGTGTAAAAATAACGTTATTATGCACTTGTTTATTTGATGTGAAAGCAATGTTTATCAACCGACAGTAGCTGGCTGCCCAGGTTTCTGTTACTGGCTTTTTATTTCAAAAGTTGAAAAKTTTGGGAACCACTGGTTTAGTTAAATCACATTATCGTGATACAGAAAACTATTAAGAAAACACATTTTATTTCTGTACTACATTTTTCTTATGTCCAGTTTACCCAGTTAATTGGTCTGTCCATATTTTAGGTCCAATGTCCCTATAAGACATACAGTTCAGTAGACCAGGTTTGTAGAATATTGCACCACAGATGTGAACACAGAATAATTTAGCAAACTGATGGACCGGTTAATTCATCAATCGTGTGTCATTGTGTCACATTGTTGTCTGCTTTCATTAATKTTACAGATAGTAATCTGAATTTTCRTCTTCTGGTTGGATTTTCTTATTGGATCAAAAACACCATTATCTCTTCATGTAACTGTTAGTAAATACTTCCAGTCCGTGGAAAACCAGAAAGAATGAAYAATGGTTAGTAATTAATACTTCTGAAGAGTAGCATATGCATTATAATTGGATGTTTATGCTCATATAAACAATTCTATCTCTTAAAATTTAAAATGGTCCTTTTATTCAACTGTTTGTAAAAGTTTGGGTTGATGATGCCCCCTATCTGAGAAGCACTGATCCATCCATCCACAGCTGAAGGACAAGGACACTTCAGTCGACACTGCATATATATAAGACTGTATTTTTGGTTTGTGTCCACGGCTGTTTGGCCATGTTTGAACTAATACAGCTTCCCCCAAAGGAATACGTTTGTGCAGAGAAATCCAAGATTAGCTCTACCCTTCATGTGCTGACCCAGTCACAACCTTGCCTTAACTCAGCTCCATCCATAACTTCCCAAAGGGAGAATAGCCTTTTCATCACTCCGGGACTTCTAAGGTCAGCAAGCTACCCTTCATCACCTATGTCTCCTACCCTTCTTCTACTTTCATCCTTTGCCACTAACTGCAAAAAGTCGGGTAGCTGAATCACAGGAAAYATGAACCGAAACCACACCAAACGACTGGATGTGATTAGTTATTTTCTCGTCTGATTACAGCTCCTTTTACCTCACTCTCTCTGCAGGACACAGAGATCCTGAACACGGCTGTGCTGACTGGAAAGAAGGTGGTGATGCCTGTGAGGACAGTAGCTGTGGAGGAAGATGGAGCAATCACAGATGTATCAGACTACACAGACTGCAGCACCAGTGATGAAGATGTTCTCAAGGTAGAATCTCCTCTTCTCTTCTCAGCTTTTGTTAAATGTGTCCACAAGCGAAGAACACAAAGAGCAAAATCATTCAGATAAATAATGTCTTGCTTATTTACACATTGATGGAATAGATGCTGAGTATTGGTTGAAAGGGACTGAGTGATAAGGAAGGTAAAAATGGATTGAAATGCCTGTCTTTATCTTCACAGAGCACTACTCAGTTTTAATCACTTTATTTGTTTCAGCAGCATTGTGCAAAGCATTTATACCCACTAGTAATTACTTTTTCATTGAGTATCTTGCGTGCCTGTTTGAATGCATATTGGCAGAAGTGCAATGTGGAGTTTGCTAGAGAAAATGCTGTGATAATAATGTGTGACAAGAAAGCCAGCTGTAAGAAGAGAAGTTACACAAAAGTCACTTCTGCTCGCTTTTTTCCAAATGGTTAAACAAATGGTTCATCACGATTGGTTCACTGCTCTCTTTCAACAATGAACACTCCTCCTACTCAGTTGTGGCCACTGTTTTATCACCCATTTGTTTAGGACAGCATGTAATTTACAGATGAATCTAATTTTATTTCAGTTTTTTAGTGCTCAGAGTATACTCACGTGGACAGAATTGTTGGYACCCCTTGTTTAATGAAAGAAAAACCCACAATGGTCACAGAAATAACTTGAATCTGACAAAGGTAATAAATAAACATTCTATAAAAATTAACAAATGAACTTCAGACACTGCTTTTCAACCATGCTTCAAATGAATAAAAAAAATTACACTGCTCAAAAAARTAAAGGGAACACTTAAACAACGCACGCTAAGTCCAAGTACAGTAAATCAAACTTTTGTGAAGCACATTCAACTCTGTACAGAACAAAGTACTCAATGCGAATATTTCATTGATTAAGATCGGGATTTAGCGTGCGTTGTTTAAGTGTTCCCTTTATTTTTTTGAGCAGTAGTGTTCCCTTTATTTTTTTGAGCAGTGTATAATCATGAAACAGGGCTGGACAGAAATGATGGTACCCTTAACTTAATATTTTGTTGCACAACCTTTTGAGACAATCACTGCAATCAAATGATTCCTGTAACTGTCAGTGAGACTTCTGCACTTCTCAGCAGATATTTTGTTCCACTCCTCATGAATAAACGGCTCCAGTTGTCTCAGGTTTGAAAAGTGTCTTTTCCAGACTGCATGTTTCAGCTCCTTCCAAGGATGCTCAATAGGATTTAGGTCAGGGCTCATAGAAGGCCACGTCAGAGCAGTCTAATGTTTCCCTCTTAGCCATTCTTGGGTGTTTTTAGCTGTTTTGGGTCATTGTCATGTTGTAAGACCCATGACCTACAACTGAGACCAAGCTTTATAACACTGGGCAGCCCATTTCTCTCCAGAATCCCTTGATAGTCTTGAGATTCCATTGTACCCTGCACAGATTCAAGACACCCTGTGCCAGATGCAGCAAAGCAGGCCCAGAACTTAACAGAGCCTCCTGCATGTTTCACAGTGTTCTTTCCTTCATATGGTCCATTTTTCTGTCTGTGAACATTGAGCTGATGTTCTTCACCAAGAAGTACCATTTTTGTCTCATCTGTCTACAGGACATTCTCCCAGAAGCTTTGTGGCTTATCAACATGTAGTTTGGCAAATTCCAGTCTGGCTTTTTTATGATTTGGTGTCCTCCTTGGTCGTCTGCCATTAAGTTCACTTTGCCTCAAATGACGATGGATGGTGAGATCTGGCACGGATGTTCTTTGAGCTTGAAGTTCACCTTTAATTTCTTTAGAAGTTTTTCTGGGTTCTTTTGTTACCACTCGTATTAGATGTCTCTGATTTGTCATCAATTTTCCTCCTGTGGCCACGCCCCTGGAGGTTGGCTACAGTCCCATGGATCTTAAATTTCTGAATAAATTGTGTAACTGTAGTCACAGGAACATCAAGCTGCTTGGAGATAGTCTTATAACCTTTACATTTAACCTGCTTGTCTATAATTTCCTTTCTAATCTCCTGAGACAAGTCTTTCCTTCTCTTCCTCTGGTCCATGTTGAGTGTGGTCCATACCATGTCACCAAACAGCACAGTGAGTATCTGTGGCCCCACACAGGCTCACTGACTGATTACAGGATTGTAGACACCTGTGATAATTAGTGAACACACCTTCACTCCAGGCCTGTTTTGAATTTTTTTATTCTGTTGAAGCATGGTTGAAAAGCAATGTCTGACTTTCATTTGTTCATTTTCATAGATTTTTTTTATTTATCATTACTTTTGTCAGATTCTAGTTATTTCTGTGATCATTGTGGGTTTTGCTTTTATTAAATGAGGAATGCCAACAATTTTGTCCATGTGTGCATGTTTACAAAAGCTCAGCTACTATCAAACCTATAATTTCAGCTCAGTATCTGTAAATTTGACTGAAATATGTAAATTTTTGTGTTTGCTAAAGTTATTTAGCTGTGGGGGGGCATCTTTATTATTGACTCCAAATGTTAATCAGTCGTAGATGTACATCCATTGATTATTTTTTGATAATTTCATTTAAATTCATCATTAGTTTATGGAAGATTTTGCTAACAAGTAGACAATAGCTGTAACAGTTATTTCAAAAATTTTAAATGGGACATATGCAAAATCCACCTTTTTAGCCATTAAAAACATTTTGTTGTATACCTGGGAGTCTCTAGGAGTGCAGAAATGCTGAATTTAGTCTCTCCTGGTGCTGCATAGATATCTATATATTGTTTTGGTCATATATTTAAACTTGTTTAGTTTTCTCTATTTTCTATGATATTTTCTGAACCATTACATCACAGTATTTGAAACGAAACTTCTAAATAAGGTCTGGGCTTTCTAACTAAAATTTTGTCGTCTTCATACTCCTCTCGCTCTGGGTCAGACTCTGCCTCCAACATGTAAGGCTAGATGGACAAGTTTTTCATCTTTCATATCTTTTAATTAATTTATAAATAAAACATTTCTGTGCCGCTATATAGTTGTATCTCTGCTATCAAACTACAAAATTGGCTGAATAGGATCAAATGGACCGCTCTGGAAACTGGAAGGAGGCGGGGTGTTAAGTGTCTTTGTTTGGATTTAAAGAGACAGCCTCAAAACGAGTTGATCTGAGACACACCTCAGAAAAGGGGTGAAGGAGGGGCTTGTGGAGTTACAATAAGGAGGAATTCAGACCAAAGCATTGCAGTTCCTCTTTATGTAGACCCCAACTGAATGATTTGGATGTGAAAAAGAAGGATTTAAAAGCACGTGTCTCCTTTAAGCAAAAACATTGTCCAATCTGTAGCGCTCCTAATATGTGTTGTGAATTACTTTCAGCTACTACCACACATTGTAGCTGAGTATCTGTAAAATTGTTTGGTCATTGTGGTGGAAAAATTGGATTTACTCCACACACAAACACAGCAAAAAACAATATCAGTCGCCGTTTGAGGAGAGCAAAAATAAATGCACCTCCAGACGTTATATTTTCCATTGGTAAAATATGACCCAATGTAGTTGAAATAAACAAGGGATGTTTCTGTCCGTAAATATGTCTTGTAATCCATTTAGACAGCTGCTGAGATTGGCAGAACAGAACAAACTCGCTCTAAGTTCACATAGGTGTCAGTAATAAGAAAAGTGGGATTACATGTGGATGTCAAAAGGGTTCAAATGAATGAAATGATCCCGTTCAACCCTGTAATTTGCCCGCCTTTGTATTTGTTCTGAGCTTACTGTAGCCCCCAGAGTGTTTGCTGACCAAACAGCAGCTTCAGTCGCAAACATTCTCTTTAATCTTCTTAGTCTAGCAGCTTGACTCAGATATCGTTCCTCTTCTGCTGTGCCTGAGGGGCATCAAATCTGCGAGTGATAGATGGAGAAGGATTTATCTAAAATGGACAGCTCACACTACTAAATGAAAGCAAGACTTGAGTGTAATCTGCTGCAGAGGCAAGGATTTTCAAAAGTACAGTGAAGAGGATCACTTAAAATATTCATAAACCATCATGCCATAAACATATAAAGCTGAGTCTTTGGTTAAATAATCATAACCTTTTTTATGGTTTGATACAGCAATTTAAGCCATGTTCACAAATCCTGTTGAAATTAAAAAGTTTTTGAAATTGATCAATTTGTTTGGCTTTCTATGATTTGAAAAAGAACTACAGTCACAGTTGTAGCATTTAGGTGGATTTCTAAAGTCCTATTCATCTTTAACATCTTACCCAGTAATTTGGACAAATATCTTTTTTGTTAAATTTAACAGCATATTATTCTTAGACTGTAACTAAAACAAATGGGGAATAAAAATGTAACATTTTGTTTTTACTGACGCTGTAGAAATGAAACTTATACTATCTATTCTCTGTAGCTTTTCAAAAGCTGCAGTGGCATTCATTTTAAATCTGGTTGTATAGTTGAAAAGTGGATCATTTGTAGGAATAAGGGCATTACATGTCAGTTAACAGATAGGATGATGTATCGTTATGTGGTCACGTTAGAGCTTAAATTCATGGCACGCAATGAGCTCAGCATGACTAACCCCCAGAGGACTGTTTGAAAAAAGATAGTCTGTCCTATTTTCTTGATAGGTTTTTAGGTTCACACAAATACAGCTGAGAACGGTTTTACTATCTGTGTCTATCAAAGTCACGCTTTCCCCTGAACTTTTCTCTGTAGTTTCACCAAACTGATCTATAGAATGCCTCCTGACAAATGTCTCAATGTGTCGTGAGATCTTTTGAGTAGTTGTGAAAACTTGTAAAGGTCACCTTTGAAATTAAGCTGTAATGAATGCACTTGGCTGTGGAGGACTGATGTCAGCGTGACACCGCATGATATTTGGATTAGCATAAAATTGCAATGCCGCCTCTTCCTACCGCTTCGGACTGGTGATCATTGCAGTAGTTTATTACAGCCAGCTGACATTACTGTGGTAACATGCAGCGCAAAACTGCTTCAATGGCATTTGTTTTTGTAAGAACGGCCTATTTGTTAAAACAGTGACTTTTATGGGAATATTTAATTATTTCTTTGTCATTGGTTAGATGAAGAGCATCTCCTTCATGGACAACAAATTCACTCAGGGTTTGATGCAGATTGTTTTCATACTTACAGAAACTCAACGATAGCAGACAGGCTATAAAACTGATGTAAGATTTATGCTGTGATGAATGGATTCTTTTTGGTATTATGTCCTCTTCTACCAGGTGTCGGACAGATGCGACTATGTTTTTGTAAATGGCAAAGAGACCAAAGGCAAGCTCAAGATGACAGTCAACTTCACCTACAGCTACCTGAGTGCTCARCTTGAACTGAACGTTTGGATGCCTCGGCTCCCTCTTCAGATTGAGTTGTCAGACACAGAACTGAGCCARATCAAAAGCTGGAGGGTACCAATCCTGACTTCAAAAAGGTAGGTTACACTTTTGTCTATAAAAAAACAAAAATGACAACACTTATTTTGYTACTAGGTGGAATTTTTGGATACCTCATTTAGTTCATACACATTCGAATATCTCTGAGGATTTAGGATATATGATTCTATTATTTATTGTGCTGAAGTAACTGTGTGATCCAATCAAACAAAGAGACAGTGTTGCGTGATTGATGTCAAGCAGGTAAAAGCATTAACCGAGTGACAGATGTGACCCACACATGTGTTTTTGTGCTTATAACTCAGATCTGTCTGGAACAGTGATGAAGCTGAGCGGAGGGGCAAAGGCTGCATGCTGCAGCTTCAGCATGCCCTTGTGAGAGTGCTAACTCATTTTGTGGCAGAGCAGGAAGACCCGCGAGATCCTACAGCCTATTTCCTGGGCCCTGATTGGCAGGTGGACGTCACAAGGCTGGTTCGATACTTCATGAAAGTGGAGGACCCTCGAATTGCAAAGCTGCAGGAAGGAAGGGTCCTGTCAGGCCGAGATTTTGGGACCACAACCATCCAGGTAGCCAGATAAATTTTGATTGTATTGTCCTGATGTATCCAGGTAGAAAAATCTGAAAAAGTTGAGTGGGTTTTCCAAGAGATGCTTTGTTTCTTGGATAAGAAACAAAACGTTTTAAAAAAGAACCCATCCAGAGGACAAACTCAACTTTTTAAAATGCTGATTGTATTGTTTTTGAAAAGCAGTTGTTGGTAAACTATATAATCAGCATTTATCCTTACTTGTTTGAATTTAGAATAAAATTTATGGTTTGATTTTTTGACTTGGTGAACCAAATTTATTCCTACTGAGACCTCTTCATGAATTGTTTTTACCGGACATTTAATTTTGTGACAGGTGTTCTCGCCGCTGTCTGATGTTATCTTGGCTAAGACAACTGTCAAAGTTGTGGATGATAAAGTCAGCATCACAGAGTTAGGAGTCCAGGTGGTTACAGGCCTCTCCATGACCTTACAACGTAGTCCAGGAAGCAGCAGGGCCATTTTGGCTACAACAATGACACAAGAGGTGCTACAAACTCCCAAACAGGTAACATTCTTTACCTTATTAAAATCTTTCTGAGAAAAAAAAAAAATGTTTCGCTTTAAAGTGCAATAACTTATTCTGCCACTTGTTTTTCACAGAATGCTTTAGTCAGTTCCTGGATACAGTTCAGTGACGGCAACCAGACACCTCTTGACATTTATGATCCTGCTTTTTACCGTATAACAGTAACATCTCTAGATCAGGGCGTAGTGTCAGTGCTGGGCAAACCTCCAGTTGTGGTGGCAGAGGGAGAAGGGGAGGGTGTCCTGGTTAGGGTAGAGATGTCTATCTGCGAAACCTGCCAGAAATCCAAACGCAAAAGTACAGTGGCAGTGGGCAACGGTAGCCTTAAGGTCAAGTTTCAGGTGAATATTCGGCGGGCAGGCAGCAACACCCGCAACCTTGACCAAAGCTCTGTCGGCAAAAGCATTGACTATGGAAATGATAGGGAAGAGGTGGATAACAAAAGGAAGCAGGGGATGCCATCTCAGTTTCTTCCCACAAGTATCTCCAACTTTAACAAAGAAGAGAGTGCTGTTCAGAGGACTCCAACCACCAYCAAAACTACAGAAAAAACTGTGATAACCAGTGGAAGTCTCGGAGGAGTGGGTAAAATTAGTGTTTTACAAAATGCCGGCAATCCTACCAGTATGGTGAACATCAGTCTTTTTAACAACCCCAGAGACGGCAGCAAAGGATACGGCTCAGACAATATGATAGTGGAAGACATGAGCAGTGTTGGCCTGTCTAGCACCATGAAAGCTCCTGGGAATCTGGTAAACTACAACAACTTCCCCACCAAGGTGGGGGTACCTGGGCAGGGGACATCCGAGGTAGAWATTGGTGGCGAAGAAGCACTGGCTAACAGGCCTCTAACAGACTTAGAAATCGGCATGTATGCTTTGTTAGGTGTCTTTTGCCTGGCCATCCTGGTGTTTCTAGTAAACTGTATATCATATGTTGTTAAATTTCGGCACAAGAAGGATTCCTCCCATAGTCAAGAGCCAACAGGGCACAGGCATGACTGGGTGTGGCTCGGCACAGACGCTGAACTGGTGATGACCGTGCCATGCAGCCCATTGCACCAAGACTCCCAGACAACAACTACTGTGATAGACATTGGGCCTGATAAGACAAGTTCTCTCTCTAGGAGACCCAGTTGCTTGGCCTCTGTGACAGGCTCCCCCCTTGGCTGTCCAGGCTCTAACAGAAACAAACCCATGCAAAGTGACTCAATCCACTCACCCACCAGCAAAAGAAAGAGAGTTCAGTTCACCACATTCTCCACGCTCGAGCGCCAGCATTCGTCACACCTTCCACCCAAGGAAAACGGCCATGGTATCCACTGGGTTGGAAAGGAGGACAGTAGTGGGGAGGAACCTCAAGTGCCCATCATAAATCCCGTGGACCAGTTATAACAGAACCTGAACAAACCTCATGTGTACAGTAGATGTGGCTTTGATCACCTCAATGCCTTTGTCAAGAATATGTGATTTTGTAATGGCCCCCAGCTTCATTTAATTGCCTACTAAGGCCTTTTACCACTGAGGAACAAATGTGCCATTTCTAATTAATTATCCTGTCATTCAAGAATTACTCAAATGTGTCAATATTAAAGTAAAATTGGGTAACAAATACAAAAATAATTTTAACATACATATTTTAATAAATTCCTTTTAGTATAAATCTTTCAATTAACAGTCCTGTGCTGCAGTGCATCATGAAATTTATTTGTCAGCATACCACTTTAAAGTCAGTGGGCGGGGCTAATGCTGATCTAGTTGAGACCATCATAAGATGGCATTATTTCCAATTAAAGATCAACAGTTTAGTTGAGTTCTTATAAGTTTGAAAAAGATATTTTACACTTAATGAAAAAATAAACAAAAACAAAAAAACAATATTTTTTTTGTTAAAAATATGCATAATTTGCATACAAAAATAAATAAATACATACAATTTGGAAAAAAAAATACAAAGTGCATTGATTGGCTCTGCTTTATGGCTACATCTGTCAAACATCCTGAAAATCCAGTATTTTATTGAAAAAAATAAAGAAATTTCCTTTAAAAAACAGTCTTAGAATAGGAGTAGAGGAAGGAAACCCATCTTTTCACATTGCTAATGCATAAATTTACTTGGGTGTTAATCGTGGAAATGACACATTAGCAACTCATAAACATGTATTGTACATGTAAATAGAGTATTAATGATGCAGTTTGACATATATTTTGGCTGCTAGTGGCCTTTTTATTCTACTTCAGTATCATGCAGTTTGAATTGCATCTCTTGTCTTTGGCTGCTCAGATTCAAACCATTTTGAAAAAAATAAAATAAAATAAAAAAGGGTGTGCCTCCCACAAATCAACGGACAGATAACACACTGTTTCACTCCATTTTTATAAACCAAACATAAAAAATTATTTAGAGTACAGACCTATTATGTCAGATATTTACATAAAGCTTTTATAGCTTTGACTGTTTCAATGTCCTTGACCCTTTAAAAACAATGAAAACCTTTATTTTAATGTTGCAAACATTTAACCATATGTGAACAAAGGCCACATATTTGTTAGTAATGCCTATATGTGGAGTTGGGAACCAACACTATATCGCCATCAAGTATCCGTATTAGCTTGGACGCTAACAAATTTTATAATTTCTAAATACCAAACAGTTTATGGTATTTTCACAGTCTTTTACAGTTGAAGTAAATGTTTATCAAATAATGTCTAATGTTACAAGTAGCTGTGGTTCACTTTAAACATTTACCTTAAATACTTAAAATTTTAAGAAGAAATGTGCAAGGCCAGAAACTTAGGTGAAAACACTGATATAGTTATAGTTTTATATGATCCAAATTACAGACATTATGTTCAGTCTTCCTCCATTTCATGTAAGCATAAACATGTTGTGTGACAGTCATAACAGTGAAACAAGAAATGCACAGTGGTACGATGTCGTGGATGAAATGAAGTATTAAATCAAACATTTCTATATTTTTTATTTCAATTATTTGAGTTACTCTGTATATTGTTTCAGTATCTACTTTACATCAACCCATGTTCTAACCAATCAGATGTTATGGCCTGCTGATGAGCTGCAGTCATACAGGAAATTATGTCTTGATGCGCTGAAGAACCAGAACAATGAAGCATTGATATAGAAAACAAATTATCAGTTTGTACATAAACATATATAGTGTTTAACAAATTATTTGTGTATTTGTGTCCATTTACAATTATTGACACATTTCAGTAAATAGTTTAACTTGTATTTCTGTATTTATTTCCACATTTTACGAAGTGATGACCTACTGTACATAGCTATCTAATGGTTTATTTATTTGTCACATTGTGGCAATTTTAGCCCTCCATATTTTACATGTACATGTACTGTATAATGTATATACCTGAAATCAAAGACTGGATGTGTGTGATAATGTTTCAGATGGTGAAGTTACAAAATGTTTAAAGCCACAAAATGTTCTTGCTGCATGTGGATCTACATCTGTACATTTGTGAAAACAACACACTATAATAGTCTTTCAATTCTAAATGCTTAATTTGCCAGTTATAATAAGGAACTCAATCTTAGATTGTTTTTTTTTTTTTTGCTGTTGTTTTTTTTTTTTACTAAAGGTTTGGCTTTAAATAAAAGTGAAATAAAATAAAATGTATGTTTACAAGATTTTTCTATTATTCTATTAAAATATTCTAAACAAATTTCTTTGCAAGTTAAGGTTTATTTCACATCTTGAATTATTTTATTTTTCATGATAATTTATAAACCAATCATCATAACTGAAAGCATCATGCAGGTTTACAACTGGTTTACCTTAAAAATGTTTGTGGTATTTAATTAGAAAAGTTATTTCAATTTATCCACTGCCTCAGTGATGGCAAAACCAACTATTGTACAGAAAATTGAAAGGACCTTTTGTCCCTCTGCCCTTTGCACAAATTCTGTTTTTACTGGGCTMATGAATCTGTGAAATTCTATTGTTGCACCTTATTAAAAATGAACGAGTAGCCATAAAACCAGGAAAGCTATTTTTGTCTCACCAGAGTGAAAAATGATTAAACTATCAAACATTTTCAGGTCACCAACTAGCCAAAATCAATTAGTATAAGAGGAAATCAACAGAACGTTTGTACATTATTCTTTGATGTATACATAACATTATAATTCCACAAGCATACATTCTATAAATGTAACACGCAAAAACATCTGCGTAAATGTTTTTAGTTTAAAAGTGAACTGCAGCATCATTTTCAGTCTCGCTGTGCAAATAAAAACAATATTTTTCTGCAAATAAATATGATAAAAAAGTATTCCACTGTACAAAATTTTTACGTGATGTCCCGTTTTCCATTGCTCAAGTTTCTGGATGTTTACAGTACTAGGATGAACGCTGTGCTCTTACGCTGAGTGCAGGGTGCCCACCAGCCGCTGATAGGTTTCGCTCTCCTGTTTCGGGCTGTGGTGCTTTTTCACGTAGAGCTTTCCATTCCTTACCACTCTCTCTCTGAGCTCGTGATCTGACAGCAGCCTCTGAGCTTGGTGCACAAATTCCTGGAAAGGATCAAGCCAAAAAAATTCAGTCTCATGTACAGCCAAAAGCCACATAAAGCTTACCAGTGAAGTTGCCTGGAGATACATTATGTTTATTTTAAAGCATAGAAGAAAATCCCCGGCACAAGAACAGAACTCGGATAGAAGCCCATTCACTGATTAGCAAATACATCAAAAGTGCCTAAAAATTGCCAAAGGAAGAAGATATTKAGGGCGCCGGATCCAAATGTGGATGGCCAATAGACCTTTTTATTCCCATTTTTAAGCTTCCACCTCTCATTTGCTGATAGAGATGACAAATAAGCTTTTGTTAAGGCTATACAAAACTGTTTAATCATCTCACTCAGGGAAAGGACAAAAGAATACTAATTTGCCATAAAATGAGTAATGTGCCATCTCTAATCTTTGACGCACATGTTTATTTTTTTAATCTAGTCATCATTTATAAACCTAGTTGCTTATTGTTTGGCACTGCAGACTGAAAGAAACCTTCAACATATTGAAGCCACTGTGCCTTGAAGTGTTGTTGCAACACGGCAGCCAATGTTTCTAATRCGGAGAGCCAACGGGCACGCAAAGTTTTAGCAACTGTCAGTCAGCAGGCTATTTCACTCTTCACTTCAAGTGATGTGATTATGTCTGGAGAGGCTCTTGGTAGCAAACAGCTCTTCTGTTTGGCCATATGAGAGCTATAAATCTTCAGCAACAGGATTAAAGCTCAACTTATGAGCTAACTGCTTATAATTACATCACCCTTGTTGCGAATTTTAGAGCCAGGCAGGAAAAGCCACATTTCTGTTTCGAGCTTTTGAGTATTTGTGTTATTTATGTTGCTTGACACTTTCTTTAATGCGCGTCCTGAGTGAAAGTGTGGCTGACAGATCAGCGCTCGCTGGCCATCAAGTYCAGCTGAGGTCATAGTTTATCTGGTCTGAGTTGCTGCAGCCATCTGCATGACCTTCGCAGCAGTATAGCTCAGCTAAGCACATGCGCGGGGAGGACTTATCTCCGTGATCACAACAACATGAAGCCACAGCATGGCGTTCTGACAGCGCCATGCTTAAGCCCCCCGTCAACTGGCTGTAGCATATGTTATTTGCTCTTTGCAACAAATGTCATTAAACAGCAAACTGAGAAGCACTCCATGGTGACTTCTGTTTTACAATTTTCATTTTTGCTGCAGAGCTCACTGATTCATGTCATAATATAGATTTTTTTCTCCAATACTTGCAATTGATTTTAAGTTATGCAAAATTCCTGAACTTATTTATCTACTTACTTTACATTCCTAATATTTACCGAAACATACACAATTTTTCCCATCTACATCTGTTTTTCAGCACTCATTATTAGCAGTAAAAACTTTTCTGGTCAGTAGATGTGACAAACAGTGGCAGTAGCTGCTCTCGCTTTCAGTAAGCAGTCAGTGTGTTTACGGGTTACGGAGCTTACAGGGGTTTGAGATAAGCAGCAACCAGGTCAGACACTATATACCTGAGGAGAAGAATACAGCAGGCCAGTGACCTCATGTTGCACCACAGCTGCATTTCCTGGGATGTTTCTTGCCAACACGGGCACCCTGAGATCCATTGCCTGTGAGAAAAATACAGAAAGTCACTGAAAGTCATGCCATCCATATTAAGAAGAAAAGAGAAGAAAAAAAAGCTAAGAGAGATTTGTCCAATCTGCTGTTCTGCTTCTGATTCCCTTCCACAGCTCGCTGTCCGTATCAGCCTCAGCAGGTTGTTGAATGAAACGTTCTAACATACTAATAAGACTTTAAGCCCACTGTGGATTCTCTTAATTGACTGTGTTTAAATGAGATTAAGTGGATTTGGAGGTTTGGCTCACTTAGGAATAGACATATTGAAGTCAGGCTATTAATTTGGGTAATAGTCCTTGAATATGCCTGATAACATTGCAGCTGAGCAACAAACAGATAAATACCTGTTTAAAGGATCACATGGATTAGATTTATCTACACAGGCTTCAGACCACAAACTCTTTGCATGCACCTTGATAAAGCAATATCCCATTAAGAAACTACTCATTTTTGCTGTAATCAGCACATGCTGCAATCCAATTACCCACGAGCCTCGATGAGGTTTACCTCCAGGATGGCTGCTGACATGCCCTCTGAAACCGAGCTGTTGACCACAGCAAAGCACCTTTTCATGACAGCATGCAGCTCCAGTTGGCTCTGCTCCGGCGCCAAGTAGACCCCTGTTGTTCTGCAGAAGCAGAGGCAACACTCAGTTCTACATGACTTAGGACCTACAAAAGCATGAATGATGCTGAACAACAATGGCGAGCTCAGGGTAGGACACTTGGCCGCACTGTTTGACATGCACAAAGAGCTAAGGAAAAGTCTCAACCATAGAGGGCAGCTTCCCTTAGCAGAGCTTTGTTTTCATAAAGGCCTTTAGCTAAAAAGGGGTAAAAAGCAGACACAACTTGGGAGTGGGAGGACAGACAAAACAAAAAACATGTGACTGCAAGACTATTGGTGTTCCTAATGCTATTTTACCTTTTAACAACAGCTTCCACTTCAACAGTAAGCACAGGATCAATCTGAAAAATAAATGAATAAATAGATATAATGATTAGAAGAACAAATAAACCCTCTGGTTTTGGATGTTCAAATGCTTTGTTTGCATCAAGACTGCCAACAAAGACTTAATCAGACAGATAAACAACATAGTAATTTATACCATGAGAAAGTAATTGATTGAAAAGCCTAGTATTTTTTTTTTAGAGATTTGGGTCAGGATAGGGTGGGAGGCCAATCTGATTAATTGCAATGTGGGATTTGCTTGCATTAGCCTGCCTAAAGAGAAGTCAAAACAAAGCAATTTAGGTCAGACAGGCCAGCGA